CTCTGGGCATTACTTCAAAAATGTTAAAAATCTTGAGAGCTTTCCAGAGTAGCATTTAAGGAGCAGGAAATTTCACTCTGTAGCAGTAAACATATTTCCTCTGAACTAACTGTATACTGTTGTAGCCCAAGTCTATGCAGGAGCACACTGAGACTCCTTTCAGAGAATACCTGTGAGGATTTTACTGGATTAGAGATTTGAGGATAAAAAGATTATTTTTAATGTGATACTGAAGAGGGTTTTGTAACTGAGATTTAGAAGATACCAGAACAAAGCCTACTTGCAAGCAAGCGTTCATAATAACGATATAATTAGTAGGAGAAGAAATGTCACAAAAAGTTTAGCAAAGTAAATGTCCTCACTCAAACTACCAGCCAGGAACAAAAAAATGCGTTCAGCTGTTTCATAATCTAGTTTGCTCAAGCTCTAGCCTGCCTGACGAGATGGGGGTAATTTATCATATAATAATAGAATGGTTTGGGTAGGAAAGGTTTGGGATGACCTTTAAAGGCCATCTAGTCCAATCCCCCGCCATGCAATGAGCAGGGACATCTTCAACTAGGTCCGGTTGCTCAGAGCCTTGTCCAACTTGACCTAGAATGTTTCCAGGGATGGGGCATCTACCACCTCTCTGGGCAACCTGTGCCAGTGTTTCACCACCTTCATTGTGAAAAAGTTCTTCCTTCTGTCTACCCTCTTCTAGTGTAAAACCATTACCCCTTGTCCTATCACAACAGGCCCTGCTCAGAAGTCTGTCCCCATCTTTCTTATGAGCCTCCTTGACATATTGAAGGGCTGCAATAAGGTCTCCCCAGAGCCTTCTCTTCTCCAGGATAAAACTTACATATGAACAGATTATTAGGGAAAAGGCTTGAAAGAGTCAACTTCAAGATACAGCATATCATGTTGATCACATATTCCTGAGAGTCAACCCTGACCCACCAATAACATTTAGGCTCACTCGTAGTGTGATCACGACCTTCCCGGCACAATCCCCAGGCCAGGTGGACACAAAAATTCCTACCAGAGAGAAGAAGTAATCACCTTCCAGTTTGGGTTGACATCTGGCTGTACACAAATTAATGTGGCATGGTCTGAGGAATGCGCTGCCTTCCCCAGGAGCCGATGGCTCGCAGTTTTCGGCCAGAAGGTGACACTGATGTTCTCTGCTTCCCCTGGTGCGTGATGCAGCCACTCAGCTCAGATTGCTCTGGGGACTGTGTTAAGTGTGTTGACTAAATCTCTATTAATTATAACGTGAGTTTACACATGTCTAGTTGACAAGTAAATACTTGCTTGTACGTACCTATTGAGGTGTCTGAATCTAGAGCTGAATCTCTCTCCCAAAATGTTTAGGTAATTAAGGAAAGATAAGATCTTCTAAGATTTTTCTTTTCCCTGTATCCAGCAGCATCACCACTCAGCGAGGAGTTTATGGGCTAAGATCCTCTGCTGGTGCAAAACCTGAGCATCTCCCTTCATCCAACGGGAGCTATGCTGAGGTTCATGTCACCTGAAAAAACAGTCCTGATGGTGTTCAAAAACTTCCCTAGCATTTAAGCAATAAATTCATTAGATTCTTGCGTAACGGTATCCATTTTCAAGGAGCTGAAGCATGGACTCCACGTCTATGAGTTGATAACTCCCAATTTTAGGCCAGAGAGTTACTTTGTAGAGTAAGTCGTAGGTGGTGTCCAGCAAAGACCTGAGAAATCTTTCTACTTGTCCAGCCAGTGCCTGCAGCCGAGTAGCAAGAGGAAAACGTCCTTTGAGTTACAGCGTAAACTGCAACTCCAGGGACTGGAGGTTGTTGTCTGATGAATTTGGCAATGTGGCCTGCGCAGGTATTCTGCTGTTTCAATAAAAACCATAACAGCAATAGGTGCAGTCGATATTTCATAGCTCGATAAGGAACAACGGAGAGACAAGAGAGAATGGAGAGCAAATAACAGATACTAGGGAGGTGGAAATGCTGTATGGTGCTTATTCCAGTCTTAAATGAAAAGGATAATAGTAACAGGATATTTAGTACAATCACAGCTAACGGAGCTAGGAAGCCTTCATAAGGGAGAATCCAAAAGAAAAAGGCTGCTGATTGCCTAAATCACTTGAATATTCTTAAATCAGCAAGGCTAAATGAAATTCACCCTTGACTATAGTGCTTAAAAGAGCTGGAACGAAAAGGCGTTGGTTTATAAAAGCCTCTCCTGTCTTCTAGAGATGCTGCAATGGTACGTACTCTTCAAATCCCTTGGTGAAAAACACTGCGATTATATGTACCCTTAATGCCATTAGCGACGAGCCTGAGTCGCGACTGCGCACAGTCGTGCAGAGACACACACACAGAGCTGCCTTTTTCTAGCTGTTTGAGCAAAAGGAAGAGTAAGAGTGAAAAGTGACATTGGTTTTGATATGTGACATTAACTTTAAAGCTGATGAAAGGGAGCAACATGTTCTAATTATTATTCCCCTTCAAAATAAGCCACGAGCTCAGACAAAAGGGGAGAGAAAGCGGGGGGAAAACTCCAGGAGAGAAACAGAATCACATTTTCTCACTTATCTAATTAAAGCGAGGTGGGTGAGCGAGAGGGAGAGCTCACTGTGCTCTCAGCGGCACCACCCGGTTTATTCTGGGAAGGGTGGGAGATGGAGGAAGTCGCTTTGCCGGGCCCGTGGGAATTGTCTGTTCCCGATGGAGGGGAGCTCTCTTCCCAATGTGAATTCACACTCAGTTTCGGGACATCCTGGTGCCTGTTGAACCCTGTGCCCTAATTTAGTGGCACAACTGTTTGCACCTGTGTTTTGCCTTGGTCCACAGTACGGATGCTTCCAGCACAGACGTGCCTCAGAAGCGTCAGGGGCAGTGCTGGCGTGTCCCACCACACCGAGGGAAGGTGCTGGCTCTGCTATAGACTCGGTATATTTTACAACTTTATTTAAACTGCACTTTAGCAACTACTTCTGCTTCCTGAGCAGCCTGTAGTGGGGGTTAACCTCCCCCCCAGTATACCCACTATCCACATTATTCCTGTGTCCCAATGCCACGTTTCATCTTGGCTCCTATGTAAGGTTAAACACCCTCAACCTTCTTAAAAATAAGCACTTCCTGAAATCAGAGCTTTGCCACCCACTGCCATATGTCCACTGCTCCCTCTCCTACAAGGACTGTGTAATGACATTAAGATATCTGCAGCCAAGTGCCTGACATTGGTGACTCTGGGGAAGGGGAGTAGCCGTTTTACCTTCTAGAAAGTGCCATAGAAATGGATTTCAGCAAGGGAAAAGAGAGGAATGTCTTCTTCTCTGGTTTGGAGGCTGATGAAGCGATCTCAAGCCCTACTGGGCCCCGTGCTGTGCCAGAGGTAATAACGAGGAGCCACGGACTCACCACTCACCTGGGATTTGCTCCAGAAGATGAGCGCCGTCATTTTTCTGTGCCTTTTGAATCTCTTCTCTTCTTCATCCCCAAACAAGTGCAGGGTGGCCAGACCTAAACTCTTTGGCCTGTACCTAAAATTGCTGGCCCCGGTGCCAAGGAGGACCGGTGAGCAGGGGGCTGGGAGGCAGCCTGAGACCATGGTCTCACGCTGCCATGTGGGGTTCAGCTCCCTACGGGTCGTCACATCCTCGCTTTGAGCTTGCCCCAGGCTGACATGGCTCTCTGGCAGGAGAGTGGTGAGAAACCCTGTTTTCCTCCTAAGTCAAGCCTGCTCCTTTATTTTGGTGGGGAAAAGGGCAGCCCTGGAAGCAGTCCCAGGTGTCACTGCATCCTCACCTGCCTGGCAGCCCATGCGCTGGCTCGGGCCACATCCCTGCCCTCCCATCTCGCTGTGCCCCATTCCCGTCCCTCCTCCTGCTGTGACTTGGCTCTCACGTGCTCCAGGGACAGACATGCTGCTGAAAAAGAAAGCGAGAGCCAAGTAGCTTCTGGAAGACTGGAGGCATCTGCAGGCCGGCAGATGCTGCTGGCACCCAGCGTTTGTCAGGACCATTCGCACGGACCTCAGGAATATTTATTTGCATCCTGGCCTCAATCCCAGTTGGGATCTTTGGATGCTGCTGCTGCATGAATATTTATTAAAACAGATGATTATCTTTTCTTGCTGTGCACCCTCGGTTTGCATCCTGTTTGTGCGCATTGCTTCTCGAGAACCACGTTTCCTATTACTCTGCTTTTCACTGCACTCTTGTGCTGGATTGTGGTGTAACCAATTATATATAAAAAGAATAACCTGGGGGACGGACTCTTGGTTTTTCGATTGCAGTTTTCTCTCTTGGGGTTTTGTTCTCCTTTAAGGCGTGTTCAGTGACAGACAGCTTCATTTGCTCAGATGTCCTTTGCCCTCTGAGGTTTAATGTATTTATTTAGAAGATGAAGCTTGCTGTCAGTATTTGTATAGCACCCTCTGGAGTCTGACTTCCCCAAAATCTGGAAGTACATGATTTGTTTCACCAACAAATAAGCCCTATTAATTAAAAGATTTTTAGCAAATTGGCTGATATTATTCAGTCTCTGCCATAGCAGTTGTTGAAATCCATCCTATGTACCGGCTTTTGTTTCACATTGATAGTGCCAGAAAAGACCTGTTTTGGACTTTTTTTACAGTGCAGCAACCACGCTCACATTTCAAGGTCAATTCAGAAAACTCAGAAGCTTACTGCATGTCTCCAGCGCACAAGGTGTTTTATTCAGCCTGAGTTCAGAATGAGCTTTTATTTCAAAAATCCCTCCATACAGTGCTATAGAACAAGAGTTGCCACCTTTTGAAGATTATTTTCAGTCTCCTGGGACCAAAACCACCCTGGGTCAGGGAGCACTGGGGGCTGTGTTGTCTCTGTCCCACCCAATCGCTAGACAAGGCTTATACGCAGCATCCATGAGAAGTGTCTTTCCAGGTTGGGTGACAGGGAATGCTTTGCAGGAGAGGAGGCGGAGATGCTGAGCGGCTGAATTCCGGCACGAAGGCTGCAGTGTGTTATTATTTTCCCCCTCCTCACAGTATGCTGCGGAGTTGCTGGCAGTGGTGCGCCTCCCCTTCATCCATCCCAGCTATCTGCTAAATGTTGTTGACAACGAGGAGTTGATAAAGTCTTCGGAGGCTTGCCGGGATCTAGTGAACGAAGCCAAACGTTATCACATGCTGCCACACGCCCGACAGGAGATGCAGACACCGAGGACCCGGCCCAGGCTCTCTGCAGGTAAAGCAAAACTTCCTTCAGTGACAGCAGCTCCCTGGTCCAGTGGTTCCCAGGCATGGCCAGGACGTGCCCTGGGATGGGGCACGGACCTCAGCTCTTTCACTTGGCTCCTTCTCGGAGCCTGGTGATATTTCAAGCTCCATTTTCCATTCCTACTTTGCTCGAGCAATTAGGAGCCTCTCCCAATGGTCAGACATGGCTGTTTAGATGTACGCTCCTCAAACAAGATTTAAAAGGAGTCTAATTTTAGGAATTATTATCTTTAGCAGAGACCATGACGTTCCCCCGTCGTCCTGAAAGTGAGCCCCTTGCTGTCTGTGCCTCGGTTTCCCTAGCTGCAAAAATTGGTGAATAATTTGCTGCTTTGCCATTCAGCCTCTCGTGGGGAGGATCTGACTAATACTCATAATATAACAGCTTCACTTTTAAAGCCCTATGTAAATGTATTATTTTCATATAGTGAGTCTCACAGTACAGTTCAGGTTGTTTGCTGCCTCCAAAACAAATGGATCACACATGATATATTCCCTAGTAAAAACCCAGCAGCTATGGAGAACTGTGTTGCTTCAGGACATTGCTCACCTGAGGAACAGATGCATTTTCCTTTTTGGAAAAATACATTAAAAAACCCCAAGTGCCCAACTCACCAGCAGAGCCCATATCATGGTAATGTGAGAAATATCCTAAATATTTGTTGAACAGAGAGTGGTACAAATATCATGTAGGAATACAGCATCCAAGAAGGAGTCAGATGAAACAGGTGGCTTGTTTTAACGTGCTGCCTGTACTTCTGCCTCCTGTAAGTACAATCACAAAACCAGGCAAAACTTTCTGTCACTGCCACTAATGCTAATGTGGCACGGAGATGGCATATCAAACCACGGCATTTGCAGCTTCTGGAGACTGCCTCATCAAGGCACCTTTCAGAAGGATGAAGTGTAGAAGACTTTCAATAACAATCTACCCTAAAAAGTCTTTCATTGAAGACGACTAATGGTGTGATGTTTGAAGGGATTTTTGAAAAGTGCTTATTTTATGTATATAAAATTGTAGGTGTAATGTGATCCGTTTCCAGAAGCCTGTTGATGAGGGAAAAGTGATTCTCTCGGGGTAAGAGAGGGTGATTATAGTTTTTCAGGTCAGAGTCTAATTATATAGAATCATGTTATTTTGCATATCAACGGCATTCATGTAGGCACAAAGGATCTCTAAACACCCTTTGTGGACTTGCTGCAGTGTGTCACATGCCCTCTCGAGATCATTGATTATAATCAAATTATGTCTTGCACAGGTGATTATATTTTTTGGTATGGCACAAAAATAATGATCTCTTGTTACTGAGAAACATTTATTTAAAAGTGTACAGCACTTTAAGTTAATAACTTTTAAGAGAGTAACCTTGCTTGAATGACACAAATGTATTTTTTGAAAACGCTAATGAACAATGACAATAATCCATTGCTCTGAAGATGCATTTCTCTCCACTGCAGCTCCTAATCTCTCTTGATGGCAGTCTCACTTCTGCACATCTAACCCCACGGCCTGTGACACTTGTCTCTGGGCTGGGCACTGTAACACATCACAGCAACGGGTCAGGCTGTGAGCACAGCTCCCGAAATGGCGATTCCTTCCAGCTCGTGGCTTTGTGGTCCTGCTTCTGAGCCCACCTCTCCTGGCAACAAATTGCACTGGGACATAGAATTGCAGCAGAAAGATTTGTAACACTTCTGCTAAATGCTAAATGCAACCTTGACTCTTGGTGTTGGAGCCAGAAAACATCCCAAAGTTAAACTGTGACCCATCATTGCAGGTATCAGTCTGGAGTAACACTGAGATCAGATTTGACTCAGCTGTGGCTGTGAAGTAGGAATAAAAACTCTGAGATGTGGATTAGAAAAATTTTGTCCATTTTCACGAACAGAGAATTTGGCTTGCTCTACACCCTGCCTGGGGGAGCTGTTCAAGCACAGATAAATCTCAGTTAAAAACTGTATTACGACAGGGGCTATCTCCGTCAGATTTCCTGGCACCTAGTACACTAAGGCCCTGATCCGTGCCTTGAGCATGTTATCTACATCTGGAAAACCTGCTTTCTCTAGGAAAAGCAAAAAAAAAAACCCACCAGAAAATGATATCTTAATAGACTATATGCAGAGAGAAGATCATGATGAAGAACCATAACCATAGCCTAAATCTCCTCCCAACATTAGCGTTTTGTGTGAGAACACCTCCAGGTTAAAGTCCAAACATAGTTTCCCTGGATAATGGCCAAGCTCCAAAGCTATCATAAACCTTGACAAAATTCCCATTTTCTTTAGTACAACAGGAATTTGCTACATGCAGGTCTCACTCGAAGACTGTTGAAATCAATGGCCAACTTTACATGGAACTGCCTTTTTATTTCTTTCCCCTTCAAGTTTTGCCCGGATGGCATCTGCCCTTCCAAGTTCTGCCAAGCATGTTCATAGTGTCCTTCCTCACCCCCTGCTCCACACACAGACACTCTTTTTTCTCACCCTTCCTGGTTTGCACATTCTAAAACAGATTTATATACAATACATTAAAATTACCCTGACTGACGAGTATTTTTTAATAGGCTCCTGCCTGGTTGAGAGATGACGTTTATAATACTGTTTTTCTTACTTGAATCCTAGGTGTAGCTGAGGTAATAGTCTTAGTTGGGGGTCGTCAGATGATTGGCATGAACCAACGTGCTTTAACAGCGGTCACTTGCTTAAATCCTCAAAACAACAAGTGGTACCCTTTGGCCAGCCTGCCTTTCTATGATCGAGAATTTTTCAGCGTGGTCAGCGCTGGGGACAACATTTATCTCTCAGGTAAGCAGCAGTTTTCATGGAAACGTAGAATCACAGATGGTTTGGGTTGGAAGGGACCTTCAAAGATCATCCAGTCCAACCCCCCTGCAATGAGCAGGGACATCTTCAACTGCATCAGGTTGCTCAAACCCCCATGCAGCCCGACCTTGAACACTTCAATGACGGGGCATCCACAAGTTCTCTGGGCAACCTGTTCCAATGTCTCAACACCCTCATTTTAACAAATTTCTTCCTTATGTCCAATCTAAATCTACACTCTTTCAGTTTAAAACTGTTACCTCTGGTCCTTTCACTACAGGCCTTGGTAAAAAGCCTCTACCCATCTTTCTTATAAGCCCCCTTTAAGTACTGAAAAGCTGCAATAAACTCTCCTTGGAGCCTTTTGCAGGCTGAACAACCCCAACTGTCTTAGCCGGTCTTATATTCCAAACATAGAATAGTTTGGGTCGGAAGGGACCCTTAGAGGCCATCTAGTTCCAATTCCCCTGCAGTGAGCAGGGACATCTTCAACTAGATCAGGTTGCTCAGAGCCCCGTCCAACCTGACCTGGGGTGTTTCCAGGGATGGGGCATCTGCCACCTCTCTGGGCAACCTGGGCCAGGGTTTCACCACCCTCATGGTGAAAAATTTCTTCCTCATATGAAATCTAAACCTACCCTCTTTCAGTTTAAAAATGTTACCCCTGTCCTGTCACCACAGGCCCTGCTAAAAAGTCTGTCCCCATCTTTCTTACGAGCCCCCTTGAAGTCCTGGAAGGCTGCAGTAAGGTCTCCCCAGAGCCTTCTCTTCTCCAGGCTGAACAACCCCAACTCTCCCAGCCTGTCCTCAGAGGAGAGATGTTCCAGCTCTCGGATCATTTTGGTGGCCTTCTCTGGCCCCGCTCCAGCAGGTCCATGTCTCTCCTGTGCCGAGGGCTCCAGAACTGGATGCAGCACTGCAGGGGGGTCTCCCCAGAGCAGAGCAGAGGGGCAGAATCCCCTCCCTCGCCCTGCTGGCCACGCGGCTTTGGATGCAGCCCAGGATGCGGTTGGCCTTCTGGGCTGTGAGCACACATTGCTGGCTCATGTCAAGCTTTTCATCCACCAGTACCCCCAGGCCATCTCCACGGGGCTGCTCTCAATCCCTTCATCCCCCAGATTTACTGGGCTGAGAGGAAAGTTTCCACCTTACAACACAGGCAGCACAGACAAAGAAGGACATGCTAGAGTTTTACCCAGCTGCTCCTGGGGAAAGAAAAAAAAAGACAAGTGGGAGGGAGGTTGGGAGAGAGGGATTTCCCTGCTTTTATCATTCTCCATTTCTCTGCTGCATTAACATTCTCTCAAAGCAGTCAACAGCAATATTTTGCAGTTGCAACGTGAAGAAAATAGGTCTGACAACCATCAAGCATGCAAAGAGGTTTCACTGCCATAGAAACACAATTTATAATACTGGCTGTAGTTGAGTCTAAATAGCGGGTTATGGAATTTGAGACAGACAGGCTGAACTGCTGAATATGTGACCTACACTTACAGTATTTGCTTACAGGAGCATTCACATTTTGTACTTCTTGTTGAGACCTCTCTTTTGACAGTAGTCACTAGCCCTGTAATCTTCTTAGTTTCGATGAAACTGAGACCACGCTCCTTGAAAGGCTTTAACTCCCAAAGTAGCCATCTACACTGCGCCCACAGCATCACGGTGTCTGGTTTTTTGCAGTCTGGTGGTACCTCTGCTTGGCTGAGGGGGAAAAGCAATTCCCACCAGGCGATGCGAGGATGCTCTGATGGCAGCTGAGTGGAGGTTTGATGATGATAAAGAGAGGAGCCTGAGCAGGGAGGTGCGGTTGTGTGTGATCCGAGGATGTAGTTGGGAGCGCAGATGCACCAGGCAGTACCAGTAAGGGGTTACAGTTGTTGCCTTTCCCTTGCCGAGTTCCCTCACTGCATTTTCCACAGTGAATTGCTGCCTGTGGTGTTAAATTCCATTAATACTGCATAAAGGCCCAAAGGATTGACTGGAAATTATTTCTTCATGTGTTTTTGCCCATGCTCATTTTGCTGCTGGAGCAAAAGCCTTCTGTGGAGGCTTTTGTGAGATGTTGACTTTTACTTATTCTTAGCTAAGGTACTTTCCAATATGTAGACCCACTTTAGGCTGTGCCATACCTGCTAACAAAAGCTGTTGAATACTAAATTCAAAGCTTATTTCAGCTCTTACCCTTGAATCTGGATGAGCTGATGGTATTCAGTGGCTACAACAGGAGAGCTGAAAGTCCCGCATGGCTGGAAACCTAGGGGGGTGTCGGTGGATATTTTGCTTTGCTCAAACTTAGAAGACACAGGAAAGAGGGAAGGGGAACCAACAGAAGTGGGAATGAACTCCTGCACGCTCTGAGTACTGGACCCCACACTGCACGGCATAGGCTTGGAGAGCAAAATGCCAAGGAGGAAGCCTGGTTTTCTCATTAAACCACAGAAATGAGTATAGTTTCTTTTCTTGGCTCAGCCACTGTCTCCTAGTGTGGTCTCAGCTAAGTCATTTCACCTCTTTGTGCTTCAAAATAGGGATAATAAGATACCCACTAAGTGGTTACCTTGGAAGCTTCAGTCAGAAGTTTAAAAATGACGAATATAAATATTTCACTGGAGCATCTTGAACTGTTTTACAGGAGTGGTACAGCTGGTTCTTTCCTTTATCAGCAAATGAAAATAAATAAGAAATTTGTCCCTGAAAATTAGGCATTAAGCCTACAGTACAAGCAATGACTTTATTCTGCCCATGTATGTGTTGCTTCAATCCATCACTATATTAAGCCTTTTAGATTTCAGACTGGCCTGTGTCTCGCAAGCCAGATAGGCTCTGCCTCCTGACACCTTCTTGCAAGTGTTGCAGTAATTTAATCGACTGGAAGTTATTTATGAACACTGAAAAGGGTCTATCCCCTTATGTACATGTCCCTGGTAGTCTGACATCTTGATTTCTTCATGTCATCTTCTTCAAATAAAAACAGCCTTTGGGGCGCATGAATAAATGACACAGATATGCATCATCGGAACAGATGCTCAGTATTGAGGGTGATTTATTTTAATTAGTCAAATGTCATTTGAAGAGTTTTTACTTTGTAACTGCCTTTGATTGCTGTGTGCAAAGCTGCTGCCATTCCAGGATCTCACGTAATTCTCCCCTTTTCTTTCTCTCACCCGCACGTCGGTGCCAGGCGGCATGGAGTCGGGTGTCACGCTCGCTGATGTCTGGTGTTACATGTCCTTGCTCGATAACTGGAACCTCGTGTCCCGCATGACAGTCCCACGGTGTCGACATAACAGTCTGGTGTACGATGGGAAAATTTATACCATTGGAGGGGTCGGTGTGGCAGGCAACGTTGACCATGTGGAAAGGTAAAAAAAAAAAAAACAAAACCAAAAAAACCATGCTGTTTGCTGGAGCTTTTTCTTAATGCTGTGCTAAAGGACCATTTTCCTTTTAAACCACCCATCAAATGGGCTGTATGCGTTAAAACGAGCTTTTATAACAGCTAAGAAAGGAGGAAACTACAGAGGATTATATTTCTTTTTAAAGCTTCAGTGGAAAGCATTGTTTCAAAACCAAAGACGAAAGCTGCCAGTGTGTTTGTCGGTTTGCTCGGGGGAAGAAGAGAGGAATTAAGTTTCTTTGGACACTTTACACAGATTATACAATGAACTAATAAACTTCCTTTGAATTCAGTACTGATGATAGTCTTTACAGATCACAATAATCCTTTTTCTTTTTTTTAAAAAAAAAACCAAAAAGCAACAGCAAAGTAAGCTTCTCACATGTGCTCTCCTGGTAAAGCACCTCAGCGTTGACCTGGCTGGAAGAAAGATCCTCCCTTTGGTGGTCTTGGCCTGGGGCTGGGACCTGCCAAGCTCCGAGTAAAACAACCAATAAATGGAAACAGTTTTGAATTCCTGGCCGAGAGGGGCTGAATAGAACTGGGAGCGAATGGAGATGTCTGTTTTCAAGAAGACTCCAGATATAAAAATTTTCCTTTTCTCAAATGGAACTTGACAAAAAAAGGAAGGAACAAAAGCACAAAAGAAGCATTTCACAAAGTAGAATTCCAAAACCAACTAATTTAATGTCAACCATAACATTCAATAAAACAATAAATTTCATATGCATATCAATGTTTTCATTAAAAAATAGAAACCGCTTTGAAATGCCGTATATAAGAATATTCCATTCCAAAAAGATCAATACAGCTCTAACCTTATCCAAACACATAAAAATGCATTGTGACAATAAATTAATGATACATTTTTGTGCAATGTTTTTCTTTAGTGAATTGGACAGCCGAAAATATGAGGGTTTTTTCTTTTTGTCAGTTTTAAGTGCTCTATTTGGATACTTCTTCAGCCACATTTTGAAGAAGGCATTTCCCGGTAACAGTTGCCTTAACAAGCAAGCCAAAAAGGGATAGGTCATTAAGAAAGATTTTGGGGAAAAAAAAAGAACGTTTTTCAAAACGTTAGGATTAAAGATGCTTTCAAGGATTTTTGGATATTTCTGGATTTTGGTGCTGCAACATTTATGTTCCATTTATACAAGGGGTGTTTATTTTTTCATTTAAGTAGATACCGTAAATACTGAATACCAAAACCTGTATTAAAAGTTTATTAAAGTTTCAAAGTCAAACACACAGGAAATTAGGGAATGCCAGAAATAAAGTTTCCTTCTGCAGTTCTACATTTTGGTTCAATCTTTAATTGTGTAGTCATTTTTTTCCCCCAAATGATTTCTGCCTAGTTCAGTGCATGGGACAGACCAGTTTGGGGAAAGTATGCATGGCCAGGGAGATCCTATCTGGTGCCGAGTGATCACCATTCACATGCAGTTTTGTGTTCCTCTGTGTTCACAAATTTGGCATTATTTTGCCTAGGAGACAAGGATGTGACAAAAAGAGAGGACGTGTGCTGTGGAACAAGGTCTGCAGGTAGCCTCCCCTCCCAGCCCGGGCTCGGGCTGAAGGCCTGACGCAGGTGATACGCTCAGCAAGTCAGGGGAACGCAGGCAGCGAAGGATGAGTGATAAATAATACCAGTGAATGCAACACCTGCGTGTTGCTCCCCTCCTTAACCCTGAGTTTAAGGTGGGCACTGCCCTTGGGACTTGCTTTGGAGGAAATCTCACTGTTTTATGCAGATCTCTTTCTGATTTCTGAAGGTATTTGTCCTGTAATTTAAGTCGGTAAATTTTTAACTAGCAGAAATGTTTTTGTGAACACGGGAAGGCAAGAACCCGGGAAAGGGATGCAATCTTTCATTCCATCTCTGTAAAGAGGAACATGGAAATACTGCTATCCCGGATACACGTCTTGACAGCTGTCATCGACTGAATGAACTCTTCTAATTTTTCCCAGATTCTCATGTCTTTCTCTGCTCTGATTCTCATGGTCTGTCTTTAACAAAGCACCCGACACGTTGGTCAGCTGAATGAACCGCAAATCAAGCAAAGTCTCCTCCTCTCCTCCCTTATCATCTCGGTCACCCAAGCCCTTGCCACAAATGACATTGCAGCCCCTGAAGTCACGCTCAGGCCCTCGGCGTACCCTGCATGGCTCAGGGCGAGCAGCCGTGCTGGTTTTCCGTTGTAACAAGCCCACCAAGATACTTCCATGTGGGAAAGGAGCAGATTTCCTCCCTATCGTTTCAGTGCACACTGTCTCAACGGCAATAAGGATGTCTTGTCATGGGGATTTGCTAAACCTGTGGTTATAATTAATCTGCTATTGTCTATAAAGTGGCTTGTGAGACGCAGCCATTGAAAAAGTGCAACATGGCCTCTTTTCAGTTATGCCAAGAAATGCAGGAGGGTTTGGAATGTTTCCTTTTTTATCCTCTGTATTAAAGTGACAGTGGGGGATGACAGAAGCGGAGCATGGCATGGCTGAAGCCGTGCCTCTTGGAAAGGATGTTGCAGGGTCTGCTGTTAGAAACGCAGGTGAGAAAAAGCTGACCCTTGCAGCTGGACGGAGCAAAGTCAGGCCTTTTCAGACAAAACATTTCCCATTTGGACCAGGCAGCCAATTTGTGCAAGTGTTCAGGAATTTAAATCACTGGACCCAGTTCAGCCGCAAGCAATGCGGCTTTCTGAATTTGGGTTGCAACTTTAAAAACAACGTTAAAATCCGAAGTAAAGCCACTTTAATTGCTCGGTTGTCATGTGTGCAGTTAATACTCACTTCTTGACTTTGCCCTCTCTCTTTTTCCCCCTCCTCAAAAGCTACAAGCCTTCTCCCACCGTATTTCTGTGAGGGCTGCCCATTCCTCTTCAAATATTGTGCTGCTTTGGATGGGACACTGAGCTGCCGCCCCTCAGGAGAGGGGAAACCTCTCTGTCATTCCAGCAGGTCTTACAAAAGCACTGTATTAAAATCATAGTAAAGTTATATGATGCAAGTCAGGTGATGCCAAAAATTACATTTACCTCTGAGGTTAACATTGTTCCCCTCAGTGTTGAATTTCAGGGTTGCGCACTCTTGGGTTTTGGTTTGTTTTGCAGCCCAAAGGAGGCATCTGAGCTTACAGCCCTGTTACCCGCCCAGATGGAGGTACGGTGGCTCATCCAGGCCTGATGCAGGATGCAGTCCTGAGCTGTGCCACCAGTGCGGAGGACACACTGGACACCCTCCCTTGCTGGGCCAACTACCACCTCCCTTCATGCACATGCAGCTTATCTTTCCCAACCACATTTTTCTTTCTGCTTGCTCAGTTAGCTCAACCATGACCATGCCCAGCTTCATCCAGGTTTCGATGCGTATTCGCTGGCGTGGTGGAGGGCACGTCTCTGGTCCAAAGTGACCTACCCTGCCCTCACCAGTTAGCAGCACAGAGCATGGAGACTGCAGAGTGTCACCACAGTGGGTCTTTGAAGATGGAGAAAATAACATTTTCTCCCGGTTTCCTTCTTGTCTTCACCTGTTTTTCCTGGAATTCTTGGAATATTTCCTCCTAAGCAGTTAAAATCTTACAAAGATGTTTTTATTGCATTTGCTTTTAAAAACAGATGTGAGACCATCTTAGCTCTACGTGCTACTGCCTGACTGCACCCAATACATCAGCTGCACCGTTAGAAAGCATTAAAGCAAGTAGGGACCACCGCACTCCTAGTGATTTATGGCATCATCTCCTGTGCTCCTCTCTCCGTGCTTTTGGTTGTGTCATTGATGCTGAAGGGTGCAGCCTCAACCAGAAATTCTGGTGCCATTTAAATCAGTAGCTGTTTTCCCATCAACTTCAGTAGGGCTGAGATTTTTTACCCTTTATCTGCCATTTGTCTGTAAAGAGGCAGTAAAAATTCCAGCTTGATAATATTACAGGACTATCCCAAACAGACAGGTAGGAGTCATTCGTTACTCATCTTAGAACAATATGCATATGCCAGAGGGTCTGAGTTATAAGTTCATTTTTGTGGCTGTACATGGGTATATGTGCAGGGAGAGTAATGTTTTTGGAATGAGTGTTTAGGGAAATAACGGCGTGGCTGCAGTTCTCCATCAAGCCCCTCTGGCAAGTTTCTGTGTGACAGGGAGCGAGTCATTAGGTGTTAGGCGAGAGGGTATTACACTTTCTGTCTTCTTCTGAGATATGAGTGGAGTTGGGAGGCGGCGAAATGAAGTGGATCCATGAACTAGGTTTTTAGATAATGGATGGGCCCTGTAATATATGCAGTTGAAAGCCGAGAAGACTGCCTATGCTGACAAGACAATGTATGTGACTAAAAGTGTGGAAATGTGGGTGCTTTGTGGTTATTATCTGTTTGAAGGACAGAAGAAGATGAATCCCCTTGACCTGACAGCACTTTTACAATAGGGTTGTCTAAAATTGAGAGATTACTTTGGTTGGCAGTGTGTACTTGGAAGACAGTCTAAAATATTCAATGTGAAGAATAAGCTTTATAAGCTTTAGAAACTGCTTCATAACCTACTGTTTTATTGACATCTTAAGAAAATTAAATATATAGCCTTGTCCAAGGACAGTTTCTTAAGCCCCCCAGAACAGTCAGAAGAAAATAAAAAAGGCAAAAAATAGTAATCCATTAATGTGATTTTAAACAACATGTGAATCATCTGAAGAGCAGATCAATATGACACTGTACAGCTTTATTTTAAATAGCAGCTTTCCTGTGAACAGAATTAAATAATGTATAAGAAACTGGAGGGTGCATGTCTGTAAGCGACTGACCGTGATGTAAGGATTTTATAATGTGAATAAATGAAGATACTCATATGGCTGTTTAACCTAGAAGGAGAGAAATTGAGAGACTGAGGAGGAAAAAAAAATACTGTTTTCAGGTACTGAAGAGATCAAAAGTCAAGAAGGCAGAGAAGCAAATGGCACAGCTTGAAATGAAGAGTTTTCTGCTGTTAATACTGAGGTGGTAGGGGAAGAGCGAGAAAGGAGGCATTGAACGAAATGAGTGAAGCAAGAGGAGGATCAGGCCCGCAGACGAAATCCTAAGAATGGAGAGTTGTGAAAACCAGCAAGGTTATTTCTGCCGCTGCTCTCTTCAAGCCTGGGCTGTACTTTCTGCTGGGTTCAGATCATTTGCCATATCGTGGCTGTATAAATAACACATAAAGCAGAGGACAGTGCGCGCACAAGGGTCAGGTGAGACAACGGTGCTTGGTGCACATGAAGGGACAGGCAGGGACACACACGTCCTGCATGCCTGAAAAGCCTGATGTCCAGAGCACAACCAGGCCGTGGACCGCAGGGTTGCAGGGACCGCTCTGGGGCAGAGGAAGGCGTGCGAGGGCATCCCAGTAAAACCACACGTGAATTCATAGCGTGCAAGGACTGCAAAACCAGGAGTCAGTCATGTGAAAGGAGGTGTCCTTGAGGTTTTAAGTTCAGCAGATAGGATGGGCTTGCTAGGCCCATAGCCAAGGACAAGCATGGACACACCGGGACTGGAGGGAGCAGTGGAGGAGAAGGAGGAAAAACCATTGCTCGGCTCCAAGCCAGCTCCCATTCAGTCTCCATCTATGGCTTCAAACAGGGGAACCAACTGCAAAGCTTGCCTAATGGAAAGAGATCAAAGTGATTGTTCGTTAAATCAGTTCCCGCCCCGCTGGGCCCTGAGCAGAGCCGGTGCTAAAGACACCGAGGAGCCCCACTCGCACTAGCGGCAGCGGAGTGATGGCAGCGAGAGATGATGCAACAGATGGAAGGGCCCTCGGGAAGGAGCGGTAAGGCAGGTGTCATTATTTCCTGTCCTGGAAGGCTACAAAGGTTCAATTTTATTCAATTTTAAACCAATTTAGTTAATCTGGTGCAAATCCTTGTGTGAACACATTAAGAGCTGACTTGAGATAGACCAAAATGATGGAAACCTGCCTTGCAGTGGGAGACTTAAGGAGCTTAGACTACTTAGTTTATCCCACGGAAGGTGAAAAGGTCACTTTATTATTTTCTGCAAGTTCATATGTGAAAGACAGAGATTTGAGAGCAGACAGCTTTATAATCCAACAAAAAACAAACAAACAAACAAACAAAACTTACTTTCTGGTGGTTCGGAGGTGAAGCAAAACAGAGACTAGAAATCAGGTGTACAGTATTGCAAGGAGGGAATGAACCAGAGGAATAAAATTCCCGGGGGATGGAGGGATGAACAGGTATCAGGAGGCCTTGAAGGCACCCATTTCTCTTCTTCAGTCCCAGGGTCAAGTTAGGCACTTACTAAAGAGACTTACTTCACTGAGTAGCCTGTGTGAAACCCTCGTTAGATGCCTGTGTTAGGTGGACAAGGGCTGACTTCCATCTGCTTTATGGTTCGCTGATTTTTTAAACCAAATCACCCTCAAGACAAGGGAGGTTTTTTAAGCTGCCTCACTTGCACCTATATCCAGTAGACTTGCAGCCTCCAGCTTTCAGCTGATGAAGTGAAACTGGTCATTTCTGGTTTCTCCGTGGCAGATGAAGGAGGGTAGAAGACAGAAAGATCAGTTTATGTACAGCATAAACAGAGCGCAGTGAAAAATAGGATCTGAGGGACCTGAGATCCCAATAGCGAGATTCATCCAGAAAAGTGATTATTGGTTTTGTAACCTGAACCTTTCTCCAGTATGACTATAAACATGGTCTTCAACCACCCCCAGCAAACGTGAAGGGCGTAACGCCTCCTTCCCAAAAACGTACTGGGAGGATCAGGAAGTCGCTGGCAGGAATGTCTGTCGGGGGAACTGTGGTCTGCCAGGCACCTCTGCCGGCGCCCGGGGAGGCGGCACGGCTGCTCGCCGTCCCTTCTCGGACCACTTTGGCCACAAATGTTGCTGGTGCTAAGGCGGAGCGGGTGGTGTGAGACAATACCTATCAGGTGACAGGTATCTTTTATGTCTTAGAAGCCAAGGAACTAAAAAGGCACATTAGGTCAGTTCTTAGCTCTATTTCTTTGCCCAGTTTCTAACCAATCATAACTAATTTCTTAACCAGCTTTATTATACAAGACAGACATCAATAATTAAATTACCAAGCCCCAACTTACTGCAGTTAGCAAAGGGTAACCCAAAAGCAGTGTATGAAACTGTTTATATTACGTGAGATATTTGCATATCTGCTAGGACGGGTGCGAGCGCTGGGGGCAAATGCAGGAGATGCAGCATGTGGTGCCTTACTTGGAGGAGCTGCTCACGCAGGCAAACGAGCATCTGCAGGCCCAGGTTTGGTACCAAAACCTAAGAATCAGCCCAATATAGGTGTGTGGCCTTGAATGCTCCCAGCACCATGTTGTTTAATCTTGTTGTGTTTCTCCCCTTTGATCACTTGGTTGTAGATGAATTTAATTTCTCAGTAACTAATTTAGAGCATTGTAAAAGGCAGTCCTCCATGCTCATTATAAGTGACTTTCCATATTTTTTTTTTTAGTTAAAGTTTGCCTCCCTCTTGCTTCATTTTTACGAGTGTGCTAATTACTTTCAGTTATATTACTTGGAAACTCATTAATGCATTTTCATTAAGCACATTATTTTGTGCTGTTTCCACCATTTATATCTCTTGTCCCTTTTATTTTCCCCAAGTTTGGGCAGTGAGAATTTGAGGGACATGTTGCAAAGGGAGAATTCCCCTGTCGCTAAATCAATTTTTACAGATGGATTCATGGCCGTGGATTCACTTCGTGTTTGCATATTGCATATCACTAATATTAAGAGCAAAAGCCCTGAATCGGTGATGAGGGCTTCTGTTCTTGCAGTCAACAATTCTGAATAATCGCTACACAGGAAACTCCTATTTGACTGAATGTGCCATTACACAGAAATATAGAAGCCTAAAAATCACATTATTTTCCACTGTCTCCAAGACTCGTCTTAAAGCAGCTATTTGGATCCCTGCCACATTATCGTTAAAAAAAATTGACGTCTGTACTTGTGACATTGTCTAAAATGAATCTTCATCCATGGATTATTAACTGCACATCCCTTATGGTCAATGGCTTAATTAAATCAGATACTGATGACCTTAAAACTAATTTAGCACTTTCATGCACACTCATTTCTGTTTGCTTCACGTCAAATATAGATGCAACGGTGAAATCTTATTCCAGCATTAACATTTGCAGCTTCTTGCAATGAGCACAGTGGTTTGGTTTGTGCAATGAAAATTAAATGGAAGCAACTTATTCTGGCACAAAATGTGCATCGTGGTGGGTTAACTAGAGTAAGAAGAGCTATTGTGTTCCATTATGTTGTAGGTGAGATGTGTTCCATGAGCTGAACAACTGAAGTGTATTAACAGTTGCCTGCCTGCAGTTGCTATTGGATATCTGCACTGATTTGCAAGAATAATCTCATTGTATACTCATTAATAGAAATTAATTAGTGGAAGACATCTCAACAGAGATGTCCTGAGTTTCTTTAGCTTGGACTATAATGAGATTTGAGAGGCATATACAGAAAATAGAACCAGCTTTCTCCAGGCTTTTCGCAATGTTTTAAAAGCTCAGAAAAGGCATTAATTACACTGTTTATCAAGTGGCTGAATTTGAAGGATGTTAGGAAATACATTTCCACCTCTGCTTTTCTTCTGCTTGTCAAGCTGCCTTTCTGTTACATCCCAGCTCGATTTCTATGCCTGTCTATTGTGCCCAGCGCTGCATCATCTCAGCTCACTCCGGTTGTTGTCATCCCAGGTACGACACGATAACCAACCAGTGGGAGACCATCGCTCCTCTGCCAAAGGCCGTCCATTCAGCCGCTGCGACTGTTTGCGGTGGGAAGGTCTACGTCTTCGGTGGCGTGAACGAAGCCGGACGAGCTGCGGGGGTCTTGCAGTCCTACATCCCTCAGACGAATTCGTGGAGTTTTATAGAGTCTCCGATGATCGGTAAGGGATGTGTGGTGTGAGAGTAAACATGTATTACAACAGAAATCTCTGTGCTACAGGTATTTTAATGCCTTTGCGGAAAGCAAATGAGTTGGGGGTTGAGGGGAGATTTGTTTACAACAGATTGGCGAGAATGCATGGTATATTATACCAGAGAGGCAATTAACTGGATCTTTACCGAAGGCAATTGTCACTCATTAATACAGCTAGTTATCAGCTGGAAGTGAAGGGTTCAAAGTAGAGGAGAAAGAAAAGCAGTTCTTAGGTATGGACAACTAGTAATTTTTGATCCAAAAAAGTGCAGTGAAACTTGCATACATGGTATCATGTGTTGCTCCATGCGGTTTTACAACACTGCTCAGTTAATGGATTATTACTCATGAGTTTGTTAAAATGCTACCTGTCCTGTGGGAAGTGGCAGCCATTCTTAACTGGAATTTATCAGTGGTGTCCAAAGGCATATGTGCTTCAGAGGCTGAAATCTCCGAGACATGCAGATTATTAAAACTGTGTTTATTAGTTTATGATGCCCTCAAGCTCACCGAACATTTTACAGAATAAAGACCAAGATGAGAGGCCAAACTTTCCAATGTACGAGCCAACATCAGAGGTGCAGACTTCCGTCCAAAATTAGGGCAGAGCTCAGAAGATGGCAACTTATTTACTTTCCGTGACAGTTTGCACCCTGAGTGATCAGGCTGCTTTTGGAAATGAGGTTTAGTGTTCAGCTTCATGAGGACATTACTGCAGGGTGACAGCGGACCTGGGCCAGCTGCTCTGCGCTGGGTGGCTGTGGACAGCCTTCAGTGTGGCTGTACTCAGGTTGCTAAAGAAACAGCACTCGTACAGTCATCAGCTGCTTTGGGGTGGCTTGCTTTTGCATCCTAGGAATCACAGAATCATAAAATCATAGAATCATAAATTGTATGGATTGGAAGGGACCTTTAAAGGCCATCTAGTCCAACCCCCCTGCAATGAGCAGCAACATCTTCAACTAGATCAGGTTGCTCAGAGCCTTGTCCAACCTGACCTGGAATGCTTCCAGGGGTGGGGCACATACCCCCGCTCTGGGCAACCTACGGCAGTTTTTCACCATCCTAAACCTCTTAGCTGTGTTGAAACTGTGACACGAGGTGCTTCGTTTTTTGAAAATCGTGGTCTCGGTATTGAGTCTGGTAGAGCAATAGGAGTAGCAAGTAATAAATTATAGAATTACAGTTACAAGGTATTATTCAGGTAAGGCCTAAGCATACTCAGAAAGCAAAAATAAGCTGCTCTTCTTATTATAGTTTGTTATAATTATTATGACTGTCTTCTTGGGGTTCCCTGGTAGATCCGGTCATGAGGAGCTGGTACAGCCATGGCTGTCCCCAGCGCAGCCAGCACTGCTGCCTTCCGACTCCCTTGCTGCTGTTTGTGTCCAGCCTAACATAACATGACATGCATATGATGCAGCATGAAGCGCCCAGCAGGAGGGCGTTAACCGGCAAAAGTCATGTTTATGTAAGACAGCAGTGCAAACAACCCTATTGCCTGGCTTTTTCCATCACATGGCTACAGCTGCTGCTGTTCATTTAATCCACTGACTGACAGTATGAGGTTTTCTTGTACTCAGAGCGTATTGCAAAAATGAATGCATTATGCAAAGAGGTATTCCTTTTCCTTACCAAAATAGTACAAGTGCCACAGGAGCTAAGAAATCATTCCCCGGGCTCGTTACACTGTCTAGCAGGCGTCAACACCACTGCGTGCTTGGAAAAAATCATCCAAACCATCCGGAGCTGGGTTCGTCATCCATTGTTCTAATGGACATGTACTATTATTTCCTAACAAAAATACATGAAAGACACTGGTGAAGTTAAAAGATGGTATTTATGTTTTGGTGTAAGCAAAGTTAATTAGTTAAGCTGAAGGCATAAAATATGTGATGAAATGCAGAGTTGCTGTATGTCTTTGTTGGGAAATGTATGACATCAATTTATTTGCAAATAAAGTGAAGCAACGCAGAGCCTGAAAAATTGCACCCCAGTGGAGAATGTCTGGGAAGCAGAACTGATGTGATGCCTGATCTTCACTAACAGGCTGTGGGAATACTGGAAATACACTTCAATTTCTCCAGCTGCACAAGAACCGTAGTATCACCTGTATTTGTAAAGTATCCCTCAAGAGCTGGATGCTATGCCAAGTGCGGTACAGTCAACATTTATATAAAACAAAGAGGGAGGAGAAGGAGTCTTGGCATGCTTTTTACAAAATGGAGTTGAGATTAAACCCTGATATGATCGCTGCTGGGGTGCCTTCGACAGCCTCAGAGCCTTTTTGTGTTCATTTGTGAATTCGTAAGGTGTCCCTCTGAGCTAAGTCAACTGAGACATTTGATGGCAAGTTGTGTTGATTAAGGTGACCCCAGAGATCAGTGAAACCTGTCTGACCTCAAGTAGGACAACGGATTATTTAAAAACACCTCAAACATGCTCAGATATGCAACAGAAGATGCAAGTATTGAAAGTAACCAAGGTGTCTGGAGATTTTTAGACCAGTAGTACCTGTTTCAAGTCACTGTGGTATTTTATGATGAGTTGAACACAGCATGGCACACGTTTGAACCCAACAGGTCCATCTCTTCCAAAGCGTCGTGTGCCAGCCTAACCCAAGGCAACATACGCATCAACCACAGCAAGGGGGAGGGTCATTTTTGGCTAATCTGAAGGGAGGCGAAAGCAGGCTGGATACTGATATCCTGTCTGTGCAAAGGAGATACAGAGTGGGGACCAATAACGCGACCACACAGCTCAGCCACCACTCTCTTCTGCCTCGATGTCTTCTAGGAATAAGCAGTGAATTCACTCCCAGTTTCCAGTTATTCTTTAGCCTTCACCTGCCAGGAGGTGCTGGGATGTGGACACCAGCGTGCAGTAGGTATGATGCTGGGCTTACCTACATGTTGCACAGGGATGTTTTGGTAGCCTTCGGGCAGGTGTAGATTACACACATCCATGTTTGGAGAGGAGAGGGCCTTTCTCAGTGCCCCATCCTTTGCTTCAACTCTATCCTCCCCCACCTTTGGAGCAGGCAGATGTTCCTGCAGCAGTACAGCCCACAGCTTGATGTTACTGGGGTAGTGGAGCCTCCCAGGGCTTTTACATTACATGTTTTTGATAAACTACCTTGCACACCCCCTTCTTGTGTTTTGAGCTGTAAGAAGTTTGCTGCTGTTGATCCAAAGTTGTACAACAGTAAATGAACATACTTGCAGCCCCTGCCTTTCCATTTCATGCCAAGCTGTCCTATAAAGCTCTGCTAAAAACGTATTTCATGCCCACCTTCCTGAGGTTTCTCTTATTTAACAAGATGGCCATAGACATGCTAAAGTCAGTGATTGTAAGTAAGCCTAATTATCTTGTCATTGCCTTTTACTTCACTTTGTGCCTTCATGCCAGAGCACTAAAATATACCTTTTTTGATACCTTGAACAGTCTGTACTGGTGGAATTACAACTTTGTATTGTTTCTGGATTGTAAGAAAACCAGTGTTTCATCATCACCACTATTAAATTTTAAAATCTAGTAAGAACTATAGGGACATAGAGGTCAAAGATCTATGAGCATTTCTGGTTTTTAATCCCCAAGTATGTAGATCCTCACTATACCGTTTACTCATGCAGTGATATGTCCAACCAAAGTGGGACTATCATAGAGCTAAGAATGCAAACAATATCTGGAAAACAGTGTTAGCAGCATCTGTGCATTTTTACTGCACTGTCATGGCTTATTTTGGTTAAAATGCATAATCGTTCGCATGAATTTATTTTGGGCTTTACAAGAAAAGTCAGATGCATGTCTTCACCTGTCCCTCTCTCTCCAGGCAAGTAGTTCAGTACCCATGTGTGGGTTTGGCTGGCTGTCACCTAGAAGTCTCAAAGCAATGAGTGTTCTATCTGATCCTTCAACATATTTTTCTTCCCATGACTAGTTCTTAGTGTTTTTCCCACTAGTAAGCTTGAATTTTATTTCCCTTTGTCTCACCTGTTTCTCCCCCACATATGCCATATCCTCTGTTCAGAATGATTTTTTTCTACTCCTTGATGTGTTCCCCCTACAAATACTTACTCTGCCCTCTACCCAGCAAAGTCCATGTTTTTGTGTTTGCCTTCTATTAGATGTCCTTCCCTTCACTTCCTACCTCCATTTCATCTCTGTGGCCATGCTTTGTCCAACTCTTTTCAGTTCATCAACATTTTGCCCGTAAATGTGATGCTGAAACTGCCCCGTGATGGCACGAGTCATCCCTGCCACGCACACGCACAAAAACAGCGTTCGCAATTGAAGATGCTCAACTTTTCGGTCTCTGAGGAGGGTTTGCTCAAAGATCGTTGGGGAAACCATAGGGCTGGTGGTGTAGTTATGAGAAATCAGCTAGCAGGAGAGCACCGTGCCAGAAGGGCTGACATCCGAGATCCTGCTGTTAATTGCAATATCTGCACTACGGCCTCACAAGCTATGTTAAGGATCAGACTGCAGTCTCCCGGCGGCCAAGAGGTGTTAACTTATCCATTGCTATGCCATTCTTCAGCTTGTCTGCATAGTACTCAGGGAGGGGAAGAGGCGCTTACTATAAAATAGATTTAGTTTCTATTAACTGGTCTTCTTTCTCCAATCTGCTTCATCATGTGCATCAACACCCCCCCGCTAGCCACCCACACCTACAGGTAGACGCCTCGGCGTTATGTCTGGACCGGTGGCATGCCCGCATTTCTTGCTCCTGATAAAAATGTTTGACTAGCTTGGTTTTAATAACCTGTTTCCATGTGAAGTGCTGCTGCCATTCATTTTAATGCCACTTCAGGCTCTCACCAAGTGCTTTACTGGAAGGCAATGTAAGATCTTCAGGCAATCACGGAAGGGAAAGCAGAACTGTGCTACTTGACCATATAATGTACCGAGAGATACAAGAGCCACGAAACACATCACAGACAGCACGCTGTCATTACTAAGTGAGGAAAACACCAGTAGGTTAAACTATCAACCCATGTGAAGTACACCTCCAGCTCAAGGGTTGTTGTTGAGTGCATACCCCTTCCCACAATGGCTTGTCACTAGAATAGAAATACTTGCATATTTTCCTATAGCAACAGCAAAGGAGAATGATGTTATGATGTTACCCACTTGGAGAAAAGAGCACCTTTTATGTATTATTTCCTTTACATTTATTCTGCCTTTTAGTTTCAAGTGTTCTTGCTGTCCTGGACAAATCCCATTTAAGATTTTCCAGCCTGAAATGGATTACTATACCTGACAGCCCCAGCACTTGAATTTTGGAGGGGAGAGGAGGCTGTTTCTCTGTTTCCATGCTTCCTCTCCCCTTTCTTCCTTCCCTCCCTGCCATATCCCACAGCAAGACTCTGACCCATAGGAGCTCATGTTCATGCCCAGTAGCATTGACCAAAAAGCCCAACCAGAACATACTTTCGCAAAATTAGGCTCCCCAGCCAACCACCATGAGCATGTTAAGGACTTCCAGCAGTGACAGAAGTTGGAGTCTCCTGTTTGCATGAGGTTACCAAGCCCTGGAAAGGACAACAACACGGGAAGAGTGTGGGTAGCACCTAGGATGAAGTAAGGTTAAAGACTGAAGGTGGTCATCCACATGCAGGTAGCAGGCATGGTGGCCTGAGTTTTCCAAGCTCCCTGATTCCGTGAACAATTTCCGCCTCCATGGTAACAAAACAAAAATAAAACCTACTGTTTTCTCTCTACCTGTCTCTGGAGGGGTGTCCCTTGTGTCTTTCTGCCATATCTTCATGAGGATCAGGAGACGGTTTGCTGTGAACTTTTCCCTTCCTGAAAGAAACAGCAGAGATTTCTCTGTGTCTCTATCTCAGGCTTACTTTATACCAATTTATGAAATTGTAGCTAAAGCCAAAAGCAGTAAAAGGACAACAGATAGGTGATGTATTGAAAAATTGATGAGAATCAAACATGATTGCCTCTTAAAAAAAGAAAGAAAAAGAATATCAGACTGTCTGCCTGTTTGAAAAGGGAAAAAAAAAGCCACTATAAAAATAACCAAGGGGTTTCCCTTTCTTTCTTTAACAAAAAGGAATGTGAAGTCAGTGATTCAGTCTCCTGAGAAGTCGCTGTTTCTGCCTTGAGGGAGCCCCACATAATTTCCCTGTGAGATTTGGGAGCTGAGGGTTTTTTTATGTGAGAGTTTCATTCTTCTGCAAAACAGTGCTAGTTGAATAAAAAAAACCCAAAAAAAACGGGAAGATGTGATAATTAAATATGGAAAATTTCTGATGAGTGTCTTAACTGGAAAAAATGTCACATATGCAAGTCTGACTTGGAAAGGGATGTGAGACGAGTTGTTAGGACAGATAAGTCTTCCTGATGAATGATAGTGTCTTAGTGGCACCGAGAAGAAACTGAATACTCCTTGTTCTATTTTCTGGATGAATTAGTTTCTTCCCATCTGTTCCCAAGGATCAGTGACATTTTCCTAATACATCCGTGGTTTTTTGACATATGCCTGTAGATACTCAGCATAATAGGATCCCAACTTTACCCCGTAACGTGTTTTGTCTGTGTTCACACCGGGTGCTGCACGCCCGTACGCGCCCCTGGGCACACACCGGCGCAGGGTGAGATGAACTGAGCCAGAGCACCCCACGGCCGTGCTGGAACAGAAGCAGACACCACAGACCCACTGTTTTTCTTCTAGTTTAACCAGTTCAAATCCCAGTTAAGGAAATTACCTCTCTTCTGGAGAAATTAATCAGCTTTTGCTTAACTCATGTCAAATTAAATCTCTTGTTAAATATGTAAAGGAATAAGGTGGTTTTACAGGAACCTCAGGGTTACGACGCCAGCTGTGCAGGAGGTAAGCAAATGCCAAAAGTAAAGCTGCTGGGGCTGGTTTAAGCCCATCTCTTTCTGTGTTCCTCAAAGGACACAGTCATAGTGTTGTAGATCTAGCAGGAACATACAGACCCCTTCAGCATTGTGTAGAGGCTGTTAGCAGAGACGTCAGGGCGCAGTGAAGATGATATCGCAGCTCCTCTCCAGCGGGCTGCCCCCCACTCCCCACACTCAGCACGGGGGTTGCCGGGGCTGAAGCTGGCAGGACTGTGTCCAAGCTGATTCTCCACTGGAGATGCAAGAGGATCACCCTTTTCTGAGCATATAAAAATGCAGATTTTGAAGAGGCTTTAACATATAGCTACATATGGATAGCTTTATAGAACTGTCCCCTCATGCCAGGGTAGCCACCCAGGAAACGTCTGCTTCTCGTCTCAGAGGGCTCAGGCTCTTGCTTCTTAGAGAACTGTTTGTGAGGCTGATTTAACTCCAAATGTGTTTTCCCATCTTTTGTTCCCAGACACTACTGGTTGGTTTCACTGAAATGTTGATTAAAAAAAATGTATCGCATCAAGACAGACACCATCATGAGAAATTTCAGCCCAACTGGCTCATATGTAATCATGTGCATATGGTGTGCTAGTAGCATACGGGACAAGTCAACTAATTAAATTAGAATTATCTTATTCCATAATTTATGGTTAGTTTTACCAATATTTCTAGTTGGTAACACAAGAATTTTAAGGTGTCCTTAAAAAACTCTGATTGAACTTGACTTCGGATAAAGGACTTGCTTAATTTCAAACTCCAACCTCACACAGTTTGTTGCTAAAATATAGGACTGCTTGGAGGCACACACAGAGCTGAAAATAAAAATGCAGATGAATTTATGAGACAGATGAAGGGGGGAAAAAATAGGGTCTCAGAAAATCTTCTGGACTATGCGGGTGATCTTCCCACAAGCAAAAGCAGAATACAAAAGAGAATCAGCTATTGGATATTATTAAGCGTGTCTCTGCGCTGTGGGTTTCTTCTGTACTTTTCTGGGGAAGCATCTGAGTTAAAATTTGCAACAATTCAAAATTCTGAAACAAGTTGACATCTTAATTTCATATATAAGAGTGGAGCTTTCACGGTGACTCCATCAGGCTTCGGGAGAGGATAATTGTACTTTACCAGTTTAGAGGGAGGCGCATACTGGGGGATGAAGGACTGATGAACTTTAAAAGTGCCTTTGAGAACTTGGAGGTAGAAGAACAAAACCAGGAAAGGTTTCCTCATTTTTCTTTCCCTGGCCTTGGAGGTTTAGACAAACGTGACTTATCTATAAATAAGGGGAATGTATAAATAAAAAAACAGTCTCCAAACCTGAGCCTGAAACTGATCTCAGTGTTGCTTTCCATTGACAGATAACAAATATGCTCCTGCAGTCACTCTCAATGGGTTCATCTTTATTCTTGGAGGAGCTTATGCACGAGCAACCACCATCTATGACCCAGAGAAAGGCAATATTAAAGCAGGTCCTAACATGAACCACTCCAGGCAGTTCTGCAGGTGAGAAAAAAAACATTAATACTGAATTACTGGTTCCTTAACATTTTCTGCTGATAAATAAGCTAATACTACCTAATAGTGAAGGGGAGAGGGGAAGGGAGGTAGGTACCATCTGGGGTTTTCCTCATCTCTTTTTTGTACGTGTTCAGGGACACAGCATTTCCCAAAGCGCACATCCAGGACCTGCGATGGTTCCCGTGTCTCTCCACGTTCAGGCGCGATGGGTTATGGGGAGGGACGTGTGTTGGGCGGCTCCAGCAGACTACAGGAACGCCGTTTTCCTCAGTTTACCATGTGTAAGCGGAGGATGATAAATACCCACTACAGGAAAGATCACCGTAATGTGGAACATGTTTCTGCTAACTAGCTAAAAGATCCTTGAAAGAAAAAAAAGTACTAAGCACCACACACTGATATTAATTATTATTTATTATGTGCTTCTGATTGCTTTTGGGGCTCGCTTCCTTGATCCCGGTCACAGGTTTAACAAACTTCCCAAATTGACTGACAAAAATAAAACTTGGCAACCATCGCAGGTACTGGCAGAACTTAAAGGCCTTTTTCGAAGTATTACGTGGCCGTTACAGACAGACGGGCCAGTTTTGGGCACTGTTCAGCGCCAGCCCCTCACAGAGCAGTTCCCCATGCTGGTTTCACGGGGAAGAGCCATCGCTGGAGCACAAGCGCTGCGGCGGGCGCTGGGTGAGGGCTTGTTACCGATGTCCGATGCAGCAGCGTCGCAAGGCACTGAGTAAAAACCAGGACGGGGGGCTGTGCTGGGCGAGCAGGCGAGTGAAACGCCAGCGGGGGTGGGAGGAAGAGCCTCAGTGGGGCAGCAGCTGAGCCCACAACGGACCCATATCTCCCAAACGTTCAGCCAACAGCTCTGCGCCTTGCCCCGGGGGGCATCCCTAGCCCTCGTCCGATGGTTGAAAAACACCTCCGTGTTTTAACTTGTTGCATTTAACCTTTCACTTTGGCGCAGATGAGAAAATTCCTTTCTAAGAAAGCGTGCTCAGTTTCTCTCTTTTTGCTGTTTTTTTTCTGGTTTTCTCTTTTTTCCCCCTTTATTAATTTAAGGAGCACCCTCTCTTGGCTGCTGAAGCGTATTTTGCTGTAAATAAAGGGGTCGGAGCAGCCGGCTGCACCCCGGGCAGCTGCCATGTGCATCCTGCGCTAAGGTCAGGTCTTCCTTCTCCCTCCCGCGTAGCAGGAGGCGAAGCAGGCGGGGGAGGGGGA